TACAATTCAATGGGCCGAGGAATGGCATTTCTCAGACTGAAAATTTGCTGATTGGGAGGGAACTACTGTACTGTATGTGTGTAAAAAAAAAAAACATTCACACAAAATAATCCTATACGTATATATATATGTGTGTATATATATATATATATATATATATATATATATATATATATATATATATATATATATATATATATATATATATATATATATATATATATATATATATATATATATATATATATATATATATATATATATTTTTTTTTTTTTTTTGTTTTTTTTTTAATTATTTGGAAATTTTAGTACACATAATTTTGTTCTTTATATAAAAGGGGGGAGCATTTATGAGGGGAGAAGATAGATGCCGAGTCAAATGAACTAACAAGTTGTAACAGTTGGCAGCCTCAAGGTGCTGACAGGGGGCTGGGCTTCAGTATCAACTGCCTAGACACACTCACATAGCATTTCAACACTGATAAAAAAGGACATTCAAAAATAATAATTAAAAACAATAAAAAAACAATAAAATAAAAACATTTCATTCACTGCTGACTGACTGATGTGCAATTTGATACCAGTTAACATTCATCTTCCATTGAGTCAATGATATGAAATGAGTTTTATTTGGATAGGAATTGATAAACAGGTACTGACAGACAGATAGATTTATAGATAGAATAAATAAGAGATAGACACACAGAAGAGAATTTTTTTTAATTTATCAGACTGATCATAAAAAAGTTTTATTATTACATAAATGGTAAGCGGTCAATCAACAATGAATCTATTGTTAGTTTTCCTTTTACACAAGCAGCCAAATTCTAAGATTCAGCTCAACTTATTACTGTATTTGTTAATTCAAAACTCACGTTTAAGTGTTAAAAAAATTACTTTTAAAATTTTTAAATGTCTTGGTAATCATCATCTTTTGATAATGAACTTCGAGAGTGACTCAATACCCCAGTTACTCTAAATGACAAAAGAGTTGTGTAATCTGTTGAGATGAATCTTATATTAAAGAATAATTTTTTTTCAGACACCAAAGACAACAACACACAGGACTGAAGACAACTCAGCTGAGTGTGAAACAAAGCAGCAAGAGGCCGATCAGAGATTCACTAGGGGGAAAGATGCTTATCAACCTGCTAATTCTCTGGCACTGCAGGAAATAACAGCCGCATTGCTTAACTGGTAAAGTCGGAACTCGGCAGACATTATATGTAACTGGCTCAAAAAATTTTCTCCTCTGGTTCAAGCCAATTACATGCAGACTCTTCTCCCTATAACCCTTCTAATCAATTGATTTGTAATTTGAATATCATATTCATACTATATTACAAAGTAGCTGAGGACACTCAGTTCTGCAATAATAAATTGATGCATTCCTAAGGTTATTATATTCTCCTACATACTCAAACTAGAATAAACTAACATAGTACTACAATGGAGTAGTGCAAGTTGGATTTAGACTTTTAATTAGTGTGTAATTTGACAAATGTCTTAAGCAAATTTAAGTTAAGATTCAGTTTGTGGAGAGGAAGCAAGTTAAGGACCCATTTCAGCAGAATTTGCCCCATAAATATATACTTACTATGTAATGACAATAAATTCATGGATATTTAATACTCTTTTCTTAAAAAAACCCTCATAAAATCTGTATGACACTTAAGTGTACAGAACTGGTTAGACTCTGTTTGTAAATCAAAGCAGCCAGCCTTTATGTCTTCAGTGAAGGTTACTCTCTCAACTGAACAGCTACTGGATGGGCGAGTTCATCTTTAGTTCACTTGGATACAACTTTTATGCTTTGGCTGGCATGCAAAATTATGGTCACATATCATTCAGCTCTTTAACCCTTAAAGCCCGGGTGATGTTCATGTATGTTCGCCATAATGACCCCGGGTGACATTCCTCAACGTCGTAAATTTTTGGGGCATGGTTTGAATGTCCAGGCAGGACGAAGTGCTTTGTATAGAATATATATTTACTTGGCAACTCAACTCGTACGTAATCTTTGTCTCAAGCCTCATAGTCCAGCTATCATGATGGATGCACGTCTTTTGATGTCTCGTGATCAGCCTCGCTCCACCACACTCAAGCCGAAATATGCCCACTTAGGGAGTATTGTGGGTCTTACATCTCCCAGGGCATAAAGGTAAAGGGGAGCGTACGGCTGAAGCACGAAATTCACTAATAATTGATTAACCAATTTCCTGTCAGCAATTAAAGACACCAGATACATTGTTGCTATACCCCTGAATTGGTTCTGCCTAATCCCTGATGTCTGATTTTCCTCTTAAATTCTTATCAATTTTCAAAATCCTACTTCTCCATATCTTCTCACTAGATTACATTGAAATGCATGTGGAGTAAAGGTAATCTATTCCCCTTGAACCTGACATATAGATATTTCTGATTATCGCTTTCGTTTTGGGTGCATGAAATTTTTTCCTAACTTACCATTTTATCCTCCAAATACTTATAAAGATAAATCAGCAAATAATAAACCAAGCCAAATATAAAGAAAATCTATATGTTCAGCCATGCACAATATGTTATTCTACTACTTCGTTTTGTTTTATTAGAATCGGCCTTTAAATGGTCGAGCCTTAGGGATTTGAAGGCGAGAAAAACTTATTTCAAGATACGGGCCAATAACGGTGGTGCGAGAGCAACAAACAGTCGAACCTCACTCCCGCTTCATTCATGGATAACTGAGGCCTCAGACTCTCACCTTGCTGCAAGCTAGCTGATAAAGGTGCCAGATACTGATTTTTACCAAGTGATTGGCATTACTTTACATCAAAATATTATTATAAATACTTTTCTACAGATTTTGTTACATAAACAGAAAGGCCCTCTAAATGAAGGGGGGTTAGAACAATCATGCATAGCTACATAAATAATACGAATTACACAATCAAACTATGTCAGCAGATAGCCATAGGCAACAGCTTTTTTTCAGTAATTTTTCTGAATATTCTTGTAATTTTCTGATTTTCATCATATTTTCAGCACGACGCTTCCCTCAATATCTGGTAGATCATAAAGCCCTCTATTTTAACAGCAACAATATGATTCGCTGCTAAAATCCTATGTTGCTGTTTTCTTTGTCACTTGATGTACGGTAGCCATTTTAAATAACAAAATTGCTATTTAACTCGATAGAACACTTTTGTTGAGGTTGAATATAATGTCATACAGAAAGAAGTTCATCTTATTTATAGGGCATTTGCTGCTTATTATTTGACCATACCCATTCAGTATTTAATTAAGTTTATACTGTACAGGCAGTCCCCGAGTTACGGCCATCCGACTTACAATCATCCGCACTTATGAATGGGATTTCAATACTGTACATTCATCGCAAGAATTTGTAACCAATATCCACTTTCTTTAACAACATTTTCATTATTCTATTATTGTTTAACATCACTTTATTTACAGTATTTATATTATTTGCTATGTATTGGACACTATTGTTGTTTTGTATGGGCAGGGTTGTGCCCTAACCTAAACTATGGAATTAACACTGTTCTGACTTACGATCAGGGTCCAGGAACATATCCCTGTCGTAAGTCAGGGACTGCCTGTACCGATATATTATCTTTGAAGGTGATAATTCTCAAATGACTCTAAAAGCAATGCAATATTCCATGTTAGTACATGTACAGTACTCCATTGTCATTCATTAATTTCATGTATTGTCCCATCTAGCTCATCACAAAGCATCTACGCAGTCATAACATACACAGCTTTATTTCAGTTATAATTTAGATAATTTACTATCACTGTCATCCAATTCTGAAAATAAATTTAGTAGACATATGAAATAGTTATGAGTCAATTGTTTGTGGAGCTGAAATATTCTAATGTTAAAGAAGAGCTTTAGTATTATCCAGCAAATTTGTAAGTGTATAGAAAAGTACTTAAAATATTATTATATTTTATATATGTATCATACTTTCTAATAAATATTAATGTAGCAGTACAATAATACAAGTAACAATGCTCTAAGAGAAAACATTTAAACTATTAAAAAGTACAAACAAGATGTACTATCAAGTAAACTGTTTGGAAATTAAAGTCAACTGATCTATTACTTGAGTAAATAAAACTTAAAAGCATTTGCAGGTCTACAAAATAAATATAAATTTGGAAACAATCTTTCCTCACTATATTCCAAGGCCTTATGGTGCTTATAAGAACAATGTGTATATAACAAAAGTATTCCCTCACAGACCGCAGAAGTCCAGTAAATGATTAATTCATATTATCATGAAGCAAAACTTCATTAAGAAACTTAGCAGTATTTAATTTATTATAGCCTCATATTTAATTCATTATAGCTGCATATTTAATTCATTATAGCCTCATATGTTCATTAATAGGGATGCACTGGAACCGTAATATCAAGTTCTGGCTTGAACCTAAACTTTTAAAATGTTCTGGCAGAACCAAAACTAAGGCTGATATAGTTTATTGAAGATAAAATGTATCTGATTCTCAGGTTAAGCGTTTTTTGCCCTTTTTCACCGTGGATAACAGAAAATTTATCTTCATTATAAAGGTACAGTATATCATTATAGTTTGATTTTGATTCTCTTTTTATCAAATACATCAGATGTCATGTACAATACAGTACAATAAATATGATTTAAGATGGACAGTAATAAATTTTTGGCTATACATACATCAATATTCACTAACCATTCAGTACCTTTTTATGCTGCATTATCCTTCACAAATAAGCATTAACAGAGAATTATATTTTAATATATGAAACAATAACTAGTACCACTATAAAAAGTTCCGGTTCTGGCCGGTTATTTTACCGAAGTTTTGGCCGAAACCGGAACTTTATAAATATTGAGGTTCCGACTGGAAGTCACCAGCTGGAACTAGGTTCTGGTGCATCCCAATTCATTAATGTCAATAAAATTATAATTCCCTCGAGCTTTGCAAAGAAGAAATAAAATCAGTTTTGTGCTCACCTGACTCTCCACCAACATGGCCATATCCATGAACATATCATGCAACTCTCTGATGGAAGTCTCCAACTTGACGATGTCTGCATGTCGAGCCTCGATGTCTGCCAAAGTCTGTTTTGCTTGCTGGGTCTCCATGATGATCTGCCAACAAATTTGTTTTAGGTCCTATAAAGGAGCTTAACTAAAAAAAATATAGAAAATACTGTCATTCCATGACATTACTTATGTCCATTAAATAAAAACAGGAGGAAAATGTTGAAATGGTGCCAACATGAAAAAATGGAGACTAAATTCCGATACTGCTAATACCATGATCCATTCACTCACATGGTTTAATACTACAGTACCCTGCTGTTGACTCAGGCTGCTATGATAACTAACTGCCCAGTGTCCTCTGAGACTGAACACTAGCCATAAAGTTGGGTGCTGATGTACCTGGACAGGGCACCAAGTCAATGGCACAAAAACTCATTTTCACCCACTCTTTAACTCAAAATTTGGGTGAGGCTAAATCAGCTTGTGACCCCAGAGTGTCCAACAAGGTGCCACTCGTTAGTCATGCCTTAAGATTGGAAACTATTTGAACCTACAAGTGATGAGAAAACTGATGGCTAGCATAAAGTTAAAATGTAATATAAGTGGATGATCACTTGTACCGTATATAAAACTGCTGGTCTAATAGATACATTTATGCATATATGTACTGTATTGTAAAATAATATGCATGCACACCAGTAACATTATTCAGTACTAAAGAAAGGCTAATGATCTAAAAATGTTTACCCCTTGTGTGAAGACAGCTGGGTTGCCCTGCTCTAACATATCTTCCAACTCGTCACTAGTAGTATTGCGCCCGGCTGTAGACAACAGAGTGGTGAATGAGAGATGGAGCAAGTAGAATGAGGAAGAGAACTTCAAATAAGAGTTTATTAAAAGAATACAGTAGCTACAAAGATGAAAAAATGTACATTTAAGATTTCATACTAGATATAAAAAACTGAGTAAGCTACCGGTATGTTTTAAAAATATGAATGGTTAGCTGGTAATAAAGTACCTGTTTTTATGTCAATACTCAAGATATATACCAGGTCAATTGAGAATCTTGTCAACAACAGGTAACTCTGCACTACTCAAGATTAGTGTCATTATCCCTAAACAGATAATTAAAATATTGTTATTTAATCCTCATGAGTTTTACATTTTAGATGCTCATAGTAATGTATGCATCACTGACACAACAACCAACTACTTACCACCAGCAGCAGATGATACGAGTTGCCTAATCATCAAGTTGATGGCAGGATCTTAAGTACCGTATAATATTAGTTAATACATAATGCAATAGAGTATCCCCTCTTTCAAAATCTCAGGGTAAAGCACTTACTAATTTCAAGCTGCCTCTGTATCCTGCCCTTGCAACGTTCACGGTAGTCGGTTTGAGTGCGGTTGTACTCGGTCATCACCTCCACAAACTTGCGACTCAGTGTAGAGTGTTGAGTCTTCTTTATCCTTAAGTCCGCACTCGCCTTACTCACATGTTCTTCGGACTCAATATTTTGCTCAATTACTGTAAAAGGCAACAGAGAGTTATATAAATACAGTAATAAACAATCTTGCAATAATGAAAATAGCACCGTTTCCTTATTGTATAAAAAAAAGATCAATAAGGATTCCTTCACAAGTAGCATTTTGTTATAACGATAAGGGGGGAATGTGAAATCCTGACAGATATGAAGAATTGAATGTTATTAAGTTTGGCCCTTTAGGCAGTGATATCAAGTGAGCTTTCAATGAACCAGTTGGATGAGAGGATAAAAACAATTCAAATAGCAATACTGCAGTGTACAGTATATAATTTTTTTTATAAATGTCATGCCACTTAAAAAGGAAGAGGAACATCAATGAAAAGTGCAAAAGGTCTGAAAATTAACGAACTGTTAAAAGTCACAGAAAATAAAACAGATGGACAATGTCCCACTCTATAGGCATAGAATAATACAAAAGAGAAACAATGCTGCCAATACATGCAAAAAAAAGAACACAATGCACAAGAAAATATAATAAAGTAAATATAATCTGAAACCTAGCAACATGAAGAATGAAATATCTCATTAATCTAATAGCAAGAATTGTCAGACAAAAATAAAGCTCACCACCAGGTACATTAATTTTGTGTCATGGTGTATGTAGCGACACATACCTGTACCGTACTTTCCTTCAAGGAGGTAAATAGGCATTAATAGCCGATTGTTTACAAAAAATAAATAAATTGGTTGTGCTAGTATGTCACATTGCTGTAGAACCTTACAAGTAAAATATTAAATGACCTATATTTCCTATAAAATGGTGAGAAAAGGTAACCAGGTATTATTAGATGACCATAGCCATGAAGTCTGATAACTGCAACATGTTGTGCATTAGTGTTAAACTCGAAATCATGGGTGGATCCAGGGAGAGAGGGGTTCCTGGGGGGTCCAGACCCCCCCCCCTTTTCATCAGAAAATTCCAATATTATTTCTTTAATGCAGTATTGCATTCAGGCGGTTTTGCTTAGAAAAAAGTAATTATTATTAACCCCAGAATATCTCCTAATATCAAGTGCACATGGCCTCAAAATGCCCATAATATTGGTTAGATTTGGAAAATTTTCTTGGGGGGGTGGAGCTTACAGCACCCTCCCCCAGCTGGGTGGCTCACTGTGCTTGCCATGTTCCCCCACCCACAGCTTCATGGATCCACCCCCCCTTTTGATATTCCTGGATCCACCCCTGGAAATATAGGTCAGAGTTGCATATTTTCAGTCATAATGACATATCTCCTATGGAGTTGCTCTGTGGAAAACTGAATGTGAATTCCTATTTCATAACCATGTGACTCATGTATTATCCCACTAAGTCTGTGGGGATAAAACCCGGAGCCCCGAGACAATGGAGACTGACCCCAATTAATAAATTAGTTGTTGACTCCCCACTGAAACTAGACCCTTATCATTTCCCCTTTCTTTACCTATACTGTACGTGCTCTCCCTCCTTCACTTTTAAACTATCTCTACCAAGAAATCTGATGCATAACTTTATCTTTCTCAATTTACTCATATAACTAATGTATAGTTATATGTATCCATCTTAACTAGAGCTATGAAATAGGAGTAAGAATGGTGGAGGCAGAAAGGTGTCGTGTGGACCATCAACACTGGAAAAGTGCATTCAGCAGTCAAAGGCTGAATCATTAATCAATCTATTTCCGTCTCCCTACCTCCATCTGTCTGCATTATCAACGTCAACTCAATAATTTCAATTTTATATTGTACTGCACAGTACTGTATTTGTATTAATGTAATCCATAATATACAACTATCCTTATCTGTACAGTACAGAGAAACCTCCACATAAAGGACGTATTTCTTCATATAATCCGTTGGATGGGGGTTTCATATTTAACTGACCCTCGATATAATGGACTTTCCTCTCTATATACTGTAGTCTGTTAAATAGAGGTTTCGTTTCACTCTATGTAACTACAGTATCTATGCAATTAAATATATCTCAAATCACTCCATCTACAATACCTTCTATTTGTTAATCTCTCCATTACCCCACTATCTATCTCTACTATCTCTCACTATGAATGCCAGCTTGTACAGAAGAATGAATTAGTAAACAAATAAGTGAGGGGGGGGAGTGTGTGTATGCGTACAGTATAATATGTACAAGATTGTATCGTGTTTAGATACACCACAGGGACGTAAACAGTACTGTACAGTATGTGCTTGAGTGTAGACTGATGTTCGTGAGTTATATAAATCAATAGAGTAGATATGACTTAGATGTAAATAGAGACTGTAAGTGAGTGGCATTAATACAAAGAAAGTTAAACATACCTTTAAGTTTAGCTCTGACTCTGTTGGCCGTCTTTTTGATGTCTGTCATCATGTCATCTAGCTCCTGCTTCACCTCTGAAATACAACACAATTAAAAATCTGATTATGTTGTGTTACATTGTTATTTGTGTCTGGTTGTTTAGATTTGGTTTGTTTGTTTGTTTGTTTGATTGGAATGGGATAAGTTACATGTTTTGATTGTATGATATCTGATTTGTCGAATGTCTTGTCATGGTTTTTTCAGGTTCCATCATGAATATTTCTTGGCCAAGATAAAACCAAATCAGAGATTCTTTCATGGTAGACTGTACAATACAAGTTGATTCACATAACGTATACCACCTTAGTAGGGAGGAAACGATGAATGAGCAGATCATATACTCAATGCCCCTTCCTACAGTGGTGGGTGGGTGGAAGGGCAACAAAACAGCAACACACCAGAGCAATTATCACATTCAGTAGTGTTATACAGTTTACATAAATAGATAACTATATTACATCGGTTATGTTACATAGGTGTGTGTGTAAGGGCATTTCTATGTCATTTTCAGATTACTGTATCATGAGTTCTGTCACGTTCCTGGACACATTTCCAAATGTGTACTGTACTACTCTACACTTCCAGGTTATTTACGAACATCAATTGGTATCAGTGCACTTTCTCAGGCACCCCTGTACATCTTCAGGCACCAATGCAAATTTCCAGGTATCACTGTACTTTTTGAAGTGGTAAGGCATAAATCAAAGTACCATTGAATATTTCTAAGTACCAGCGCATATTTCTGATTACCACTGCACACTTCCCCGTACCAATTAACATTTCAGATTCCTCAAGATACTTTCACAATACTTCATATATTTCAAAGACCTGAACATTTCAAGGTTCTAGACAATCAAGAGAATACTTCTAGATTATGAGGTACCTATCTATCTATTGCAAAAGATGTCATGGACAATGAAATAAAGATTTTCCTTTGATATACAAACAATGGACAAGCCTGTAAACTACAAAGCATATCTTGCCAGTGATGTAGCATGGACAATATCTTGCAAAACAAACAAACAAACACCAATGTGGTCTGGCTGGAACTCCACAATAACCAAAGATAATTTACCAGCTTAGAGGATAGGGTATTTGGCAAACATCGAAGCCCCTCCTACACTGCATGATGTCGTTAATGAAACAATGAAACGAAACGTGGCTCTTGTTGAAGAGTGTAAGATTGCATTGCAACAACCTATGACCTGGCTATAGCCAAGCCAGCTTCCCAGTTGCAGCACACTTTGCAACCTATGTATGACAATGTCTTTATTTGTTTCGGGGCTTTCCATATTATGTTAAGCTATCTACCAGCAGTAGGGTACCTTGTAAATGTTTCTGGTGCAGCACACATTTTAATAGAAAGTGGTGCCCTCACCAGGGGTTCCCTCATTACCTTTCTGCAAGGAAAACACTATAATCAGCCAAGAAGATTGCATATGCTCCTAGCAACTGCAATGAGGAGCGCGCATGTGGACTTGTTTTTGCAACTGGAAGAGGCATATGATAGCTATGAACATTTGGTTGAAGCCCTGAAGACTGTCCAAGCATCACCATCCATTGAGAGGGTGAAAGATTTAGAAGAAGCAGATGAGTACATAACATTCATGATGACCTATGCAAGTTTATGCCATGATACCAGAGTTGGCAAACATGGTGTTAATGCACAGTTCTGGATGAACTACATTTACTTCAGTAGAGCTGTACGAACAAATGATGTGGACCTTTTCATCTTCATGCTTAGGAAAATGATAAAAAAAAATTTTTCTGCAAATTGCCACAATTATTCACACTACATGTGCTTGTACTATCTGACACTCATGAACATGGATACCACCCATCCTGGCATTAGGCAACAACTTGAACGAGTTGGTTTATCTGTGAGACTGTCATCCAGTTCCTTTGTCAGACAACCTGTGGATCAAGCGCTAGGTTATTATTCCTTGGCCACAAAACTGTAGTGCAAAATATTCAGGAGTTCATTAGATACAATATCATAACACTATTCCACCCTTTTCAAAACATCTGATTTTGGCCAAATTTGGCCAAAAAGTGCCCAAAATAGCTGTTTTGTCTTACAGGGGGTTAGTAAGACTTTTTTTTAACCAGGACCTTTTTGTACAGAGTAAGCTTGTCAAACCATACTTACCTAAAATTCTGATTAAAGCCCTCTATCTCTTAGACTAATTACACTAGCTGGCAAACTGTGTGACTTCGACCACACACACACACACGCACACTCTGTCTCTTCAACTGGTCTCGTCAAATCCATGTATCGATATGTAAGTTATAATGTATTCCAGACAGGTATATACTGTACTTAGGAACACCCTGACCGTCGAGCTGACTTATAATAATTCGCCCCTTTTGAAGACTGCAGCAGGTGTAAGACAATGGCGGTCACAACCGGTAGAAGGAAACATAAGGCGATTCACAGAAGGGTAGGAAAAATACATCATGTTGGTAAGGTTAACAGAATAGTGTTGGAGGTGAAGATTCTGGTATATATTGTCAATATGTTTGTGTTCTGACTATCCTCGTCCCTCGCACCACCACCCACTTCTACACAACAATTGTTAAACGAGCACAATACCACTCGTATATCTCGAGGATAACCTTGAGGCTCACAGCACACCACTAATATCCCGATATAGCTCGAGGATGACCTTGAAACGGGCAGTAGAAATATAATGGTCACATCAAGGGACGAAAGAAGCAGGTATAAGACATTCTCTCTCTCACAACACAACACAAAGACTTCATGTACGCTATAATGAAAAGTATCTTTAAATTTATTAATACAAATTTAATAAACATGTAAATTAATTCATTAAAACACAATTAACTATAATAACAAATATATAAACTTTTGTTATGAAAAGCCACGTTGCCACACGGTAAACTCTTTCATAATAAAAACTGAACGAGAAAACAGTAGATTAGCATGAGACCAAATGTGGCGGCTACCAGAGCTGTAAAGTACCGGACTTTGTTACTTAAGTAAAAGTATTGTTTCATTGGCAAAATGTTACTCAAGTAGAAGTAAAAGAGAATTTCATTCATAAAGTACTCAAGTACTGAAAGTAAAGTAATAAAATTAAGATAAAATAAAGAAATAAAGCATTACATGTTTATTTGCAAATCTTTCTATTGAGATTAATCTGTAACGAATTCTCAAAATTATGGCTATCCAATTTCGATCTTTTAGGCCTAAATTTAAGTCCAGCATGACTAAACAGATGCTCACAAGAAGCTGATGCAGGTAGTGGGGTGTTAAACTTGAAAGATAAGTCTCAATGTCGGGAAAGACCCCAGTAGGTCCATTCCATCCCCTGGGCATGCCAAGTAGCTATCAAGCTCCTTCAGTTGAGGAGTTTGTGGATGATTGGTGCCTCCGTAGCACCGAACAAGGAAATGGTGGCGTAGGCACTTATACTCTGTGTTCGCAGCTTGGGTACATAGGTGAAATGATATGAAAGAACGCATGTGATTGGTCCGGACGTGAAGAAACGCTTGTGATTGCGTCCAAGTTTGTCCTGTAATTGGATATTTAAAACTCTATTGTTTGGGGCATGTAACAATTAACGATTATCTTTTCAATTGTATTGGAGTAAAAGTATTAGAAAACCATACTTAAGTAAAAGTACTCAATAATTTGAATACTTTTTAAAAAGTAAATATCCAAAATGTTACTTGCGTACAGTACACTAGTAAATTTTCTTAGTTACTTTACAACTTCGGCGGCTACCAAGACCGGGGATAAGAGAAGAACCTGTAGTAGTGGGCTGGTACGGTGACGAGGGAGGAGATAGCCACCTAGAACCTAGAAACCACTCAACACCCAGGACGTGGATTATATCCCCCGCTCCTTCCTCACTCTCTCTCTCTCTCTTCCTCTCGTTGTTAACACTCACATGAAGGAGATTTTAGGTTGGCGAGTAATGTTATAAGCGGTGTGTGGTGGTGGTGGTGGTGGGGGGCACCCACGTATGATCTGGTAACCATCAAAGTGCAGGTCATTGCCATCCATCGTGTTGCAAGAAACAATTTAAACTCGCAGGACACGGGTAGAACTATAGAGTTGCACCTCTTTTCTATTGCTACTCCTCGGGGTCATCATAACTCAACATAGAGTGTATTCTTGTCCTTAGCTCAGTCAAGCGGGCCACTAGACTGGCTATGGCTATTCTTGACCAACACTTTTTGTTGGAAATAGTGTAGCGATAAGCGTTCCGTCAGATCACACGAGTCTCAGCAGAAGCATAACAAAAGGACTCTTGAATACTCTGAGCAGAGAACAAAAACATAATGCGATGAGACGTGAAATTCAAAAGGAAATAACCTTGATGTTAAGAGACCGCCATGTTCCCCGCCGTTAACAATGGTCGGAAGCCTCTCGACCAATCATAGGCCAGGAAAACGCAGAGAATCCCTGGACCCTGTTTTATGCTAATGAGTTCCGAGGAACCATATGACGATTCGTGAGTCTGTACCTTAAATTTCTAGTAAATTGGAAAAGCTGATCACAAGATAATGGTCTGGACGCACTGTACTTTACACTCTGCTGGCGGCGGGGATAACTTAAGGTGTTACAAGAAATGACTCTCCAGTGGGTGTACATCCATCAGTACAGATAAAGTGGAGGTTTCATTAACTACGACACCACTAGAGGCTGGTCTCCTGTGTTTACATAAACTTCACCCATAAACACTTTTTCAGTCAGATATACGAGAAGTACATGTAATAAGACCTTAAGTTCATTGCGGCGGTGGCTACATTCTTCACTGTTATCCATTCAAGAAAATAACCTACACACAGCTGACCACGAGTGACCAGAGGGAGACAAAGCTGCAGGTCGCACCTTCAAAATACACGCACAGAATATAACAAACTTTATCAACACCTTGAAAGGACTGCACAAAGTGTCATCTTTCTCCATACCTTTATCATATAAATACAGAGTATATATATATATATATATATATGTATATATATATATATATATATATATATATATATATATATATATATATATATATATATATATATATATATATATATATATATATATATATATATATATATATATATATATATATATATATATATATATATATATATATATATATATATATATATATAAATATATATATATATATATATATATATATATATATATATATATATATATATATATATATATATATATATATATATATATATATATATATATATATATATATATATATATAAGGTTTAAAAACATAAGCACAGCTGCCTGGTCATCTAGCGAATTCAACAGTCCACTTTCAATCTCACACTAAAATATTCCAGACATGCCCCCACGGTGAACGACATTCCCGGCGCACCTCACATCTCCACTCAAAGTAGTGATTCACGGTAACAGAGCACAACCTGAGACACTTATGAGACGCCATATGCTCCAGAGTTGACAAGTGATCCAAACCAATGTCGGCAAGTCCATCACCATCACTCATACTTCCTTCAAACTTGATTAGTTTGTACAGATATGACAGGTAATTCATAGTTGTATCTCCTCCTCAAAGGGGAACCCGTTCATATCCTAAAATAGCTCATGTTTGGTAAAATACAAGACATCAACAAGTGGTCAGAGCATCACCGCCACGAGGAGCCAAGACCTTAACACAATCAACCTTTGGTTCTACTCTAAAGATATCTCTTATTTATCTATTCATCTCCCCAATTTTGTTTTTACCTTATGCTTAGATCAGAAAATAACGAATAGAATTTTTCTTCAACAATCAAGAGTCAAGCAGAGTTTTTCTATCACCGGGTGAGCGACTGTCAAGGGCGGACCAACACCCCCGTGAGAAGAATCACTCCTATTTGAGAGATGTCGACGGCTGTAAATATCAATACACAATTATAATGATTCTGCTGACAATTGCGACAGCAATGGTCCTAGTTGAGGAGAATTCACCTTTTTTTATTTACTACGTACCCTTTTATTTGTATTTACATGTATAACTTTGTACTGTGGATGAACTGATGAAAACAAACAGTGTTGGTGAGGGCAGCGTGGCGCTCCAACCGACAACACCTACAAAGTAAAAAATGTTCCATGCCACGCCACGATCAAATTTCCTACCAGAATGAGATTTCTCATAAATGCGTAGTAAAAACCAGGCTGGGCTGCGCATCCCTCTCAAATTTCATATTAATCATCGTGAAACAGCAGTGAAGGTGTACGAATAAATAATTCAATCGAGGTAATACCAGTACAACATGGACACAGAAAAACATGGATCACCTGAAGATTGTCCCTCGGCTTATTTCACTTCGAAATTAGTCATTCTAACGCTAACCAAATAAACGAGTATAACCTAACCTCATCCCCCAAAACTAGATGGTGTTTAACCGTCAGGTGAAATAAGCTGGGGGGCTTAATCTTAAGGTTATCCAGAAATACACTAACATGTATGTGGTCAATACATGGTACGCTCCCGAATGCCAGCATGGCTCATGGGTGTAAAGCGACCCTCCCTAAAGTTTATGACTTATTTTTTTACCTCCAGTTGCCACACAACAGGGTCGGGTCGAGAAAAACCAGTACCCGCTGAAGTTATGTAATGTTGCGCATTTAGAATATTCAACAATTTGTCCTTAAAAATATCAATTTGGTATAGCTTCAATGTAAATTAATTAACGGTAATAACAAAAATGGAGAGAATACCCGGGAATCGTATGATATGCGTTAAAGAAAAAAAATATGTACATCGTTATTTTTTTTTCTCTTTGTTCTATAAATACTCGTAGTGGGTGAGGAGGAAGGGAAGTCTCTTAAATAACTGGAAGTGATTTTTATCTTCTCATGAAGCCATGTCCACTTGAAATAGAAGCGTCTGATGATATACTGTAGATAAGAGCGATGGCCAAGATTAGAAAGTGAAGCGTGTACAACACAAGACACTGGCGAAAGGAAGTGTTTTATCAACGCATTTTTTCTTTTTCTTCAATCTGCCCAAGTAATAATACTGTACGAAAAGATGTATTAAGAACAGATGTTGTATGTGTGAAAGTGACCATCCACCCATAACATAACTTGTGATCTCTCTCTCACCATCCAAGATCTTACCCAAAAGAGCACTCGGAACAACTGTCACCAAAGCTGACGACAAAATAGACGTACCTGTAAGATTCATCTCTCAAAACACCTACACACATTAACTTGGTGCCGGACACATTCTCGTCATTCTCATTGTTTCAAATGCAGGGAGACTTTATTTCTGAAGGGAACAGATTACAGGGGATACCAAACTGGGGGGCGTGCCTCCCTTGGGGGTGCAAGGTCGGTACGGGGGGGGAGGGGGTGGAGGCATGAGGCCATGTGAAAAACATATATATTGAATTTTTAAATACGAAGTTGTCAATATAACTACGGTACATTAATCTGTTTTCTTAGTACTGTATTTAGATGCTCTCCATATGGACGAGGTACATGAATTGGGTAAAATAATTATGAGTTAGTTAATCTTGAAAGTGATATAAATAAGATTACAGGGTGTAAAATTGATTAAAAGTTGATTAAATTAATTAAAAAAATGGGGGGGGGTTGAGTGTTTGTTCAGAAGCAAAAGCGGCGTCATGTGAGAAAGTTTAGGAACCACTGGTAGTCCTCATCTCTGAAGACTAAAATGGGAGCAAATCTTTTTAAGTAATACGGCTTCCAGTAAGATTTTTTTTAGACGCACGGGAGAACAGGATCAAAGGCGTAAATCCTGAACGGGGGTCCACTGTCACGTGAAGGATTTTCGCTGTTACTATTTACAAAGCATCTACCATGACGTTATTTTCAAATAAGTAATATCACTGAATATTACTACAAAAAAGGCTTTTCCCTGGTACTAAGCAAGACAATCCTAACCACAGTCACGGGGGCGGGGGTATTAGCCAGTGTCATGTCACCTTAAAACACCTCTAGTGGAGACTTTAAAAGATATATGGACGAGTTCCCAGACCACGGCTCATACACGTTACTTATTACGGTGTGGCAGATGTGTTGCTACTTATAAGAGTTATCATTAAATGTGTCGAGCGACAACTAAGAGCACCCGAGTTCTTACACTTTATTACAAGACTCATACAGAAAAAAGTAATATTTCTAATTAACGCACACTGAGTGATTAGCTGAGTGAGTACTCTTGATTCTGTCGCCAAGTTATTCAGCTGTGCTCTGTTATACTTATTTACAAACTGATGTCCATCTATGTGTTACCATACTCATAATCTGTTTATGACTCTTCATATTAGGACACTTGACTGTCCTAGACGGGCCCCAGCACCATACGTTTCGTTAACTTCAAAGAAAATCTAGTAATATAAATGCCCACATTTTGTTCAACACCGTCAGTATAAGGTGTTTAGAGCAGCGTGGCGTGAGGCCTTGATGTGTCCCTATTTTAATTAAAACATGAACAAGAAATCTGTCCAAAATATTAGGGTCCAACTTATCATCAGCGTTAGAAATGCAATCAGCTGTCCTTCTGAAAGCTATGTATTGCCACGATGCAGTGACAAAAAATAAATAAAACTTGACTCTTGAGACTTCTCGCGCTTCGACCACGAGTAAAATAACTGGAGGTAGAGGAGCCCCTGATACCACCATCTACCGTCGCGGTCCTGAAATAAGCAAAGCACAAAATAAAAAAAAAAATCTATAAGGAGAGTAAGAGCCGTCCAGACAGTGCGTCAACTTGAGCCAGGACCTCGTGGGGGAGAGGGGGGGGTCCACAACACACCTCACATCCACTTGATACTCACTTTCGTCGGTCTGTGGCGCCGAGAGGATCTCGCTGTGCTTCTTTTTCACCTCTTCTACATTGTTTTGAATCTTCTCTATCATCTCTCGTATCTCCTCCACCTGTAGGGTAAGACAGTCACGTGTTACATACAGTACATCAGAATAACAAGCCCGCCACTGGCAAGGCTACAACTGGTAGGCCTAAGATTAATATATAACAATGGCCAACAACAAAACTTACTAGCCAACATGTTGGTAAGCCTACAACTGATAACATATACAATATGGTGATATATCAATATCAAATTATAGTAATAACATTAAATACATCGCTAATCACAAGCGAAATAATATTACAAATGACAATAACACATCATACAACAGCAATACCACTATAATGATAATAAATAGACAATATATATACTTACACGGCATGATACTCTACGGTCACCACCACCCAGATTCCATTACCACACCCCTGATCGACGTCACACTCTGGAAACTGTCCACACACACACTGACAACAATACTCACCTCCCACTCACAACCTGACAACACTCACCTCCCACTCACAACCTGACAACACTCACCTCCCACTCACAGCCTGACAACACTCACCTCCCACTCACAACCTGACAACACTCACCTCCCACTCACAACCTGACAACACTCACCTCCCACTCACAACCTGACAACACTCACCTCCCACTCACAACCTGACAACACACACCTCCCACTCACAACCTGGCAACACACACCACACTAACACATATGTTATGGATCACAGCTCGCAAAGTACCCCCCCCCCCTAAAATTTTAATAACGTTACGCATTATGATATCTTACATTAACCTGACCTAAATTAACCTAACCTAACATAAACTGAGGATAAAGCGACATTAACAACATTTCACTATAACTTATACCTGAACTGCGGCCATTATAGGAAGATCTTGGAATTAATATACAAAAAGTAACACAAAAAACATTCGTATTCCAATCATTATTATATTAAAGGTACTGTATGTCTTTTGCTGCAAGGTAGACATTCATTCATTCACTCTCAGTCTAAACATTAGTATTGGTAGCGAGTGTACGGTGCAAAACGGAGTGGGATGTTTTGAGAGATAAGACAGACCAGCCACCTGCAGTAGGTGCGGGAATCAATGGCTGCTTTGCTAAGTTCCTCCAGACACAGGCAACATTGTCAAGACCCGCGCGTGTTGAACATTGGCCTGGTGCTCTTCCACCCTTCCACCTCCTCCACCACTCACAACTCTACCAGGTGCCCCCCCCTCTACTCCCTCTTATAGCTCTACCACTTATCTTCCTACCCCACCCCCATCTTCTACCTACTCTCTCTCTCTCACTAGGCAGCAACTAAGCCGAAACTTCAAAGAGAGAGATTCGATGCCAAAAACTTCTCTCAGTCAGCCAGTCGTTCATAGCTGGTATAGTATTCACTTAACCGACGAGTGGAGCTTATACAAACTGCTTAGCTCATAGTAGCAGAAGGTCGAGCTGGTGTTGTCACCTCCCGGCAGTGAGAACATACCACCCGTGTTGTGCTCTACAGGTATGACTCCCTCCCTCACATGGCGGCTACCGGAGGCGTCTCATACTGGTGTTGAGAGCACACAAGAGTAAATCAATCAGGTACATTACTTACTCTTATTCCAGCGGCTCACGGGCCTTATGTCCTACCATCGCCTTCACCAAGCCTCTACACGTCTGTCTGTCTGGCTATTTCCTGCTAATTTTGCAAGTTTGCAGCCAAATCCTGGATGTCTTGTCGTTCCATGTGTAGAGGGGTCTACCCAGTAGCTGAACCATCCACTCCACCATTCATAATTTCTTACGGGTCCGTTATTCCCATATTCGCGCAGTGGCCAGCCCATCCTATAGTCTCCTGAGCACACCCCGTCACCTCCACACAGCACCAAAGGCCGTCTCATAACTCCCCTTTTAAACATTTCCGACCTTCTCTTCCTCTCCTATTAAGTGTCTACACCTCACATCCACATAGAACTGTTGGTCTTATTACTACATTCGATATGCTTAGCTTAGTTCTCCTTGTGATGGTCCTGCTGTCCATAACCGAGGACAGCGCATACATACATACATACATCGGGTTCCAGCAGGTCTTCTCTCCCTCAGCTCTCCGTCCAGTCGGTTTTCACACGTAACCATAGTCTCTAGAAACTGTACTAGAATTCACCAGCACTCTCCAACCTTATGTCCTAAACGCCACAAGTCCTCCAATCCTCTCTCTTCTCGACATTACCATTATTCTGATCTTTGCCTCAAGATCATCTGCCAACACATCCACGTCATCATCGTACACTAACATATTCACTTCACAATCATTAAGCACTGCTCCTTCTAGTGTGTTAATACATGTAGAGTATGTCACACCAGGTCGTCAGCGTCACAGCCATCCGTTAAAGACTCAGCTCAGTTTGTTAGGGTAACGCTGCCGAGGCTAGGACACGCCACCCACCACTTGGTCACTGGAAGAGCTTCTCAGTAACAGCAGGAGCACCACTCACAGGTAACACGCCAGTAATTAGGTGGAAGAGGCTGTAGTGTACATTATTCCCTCCCAAAGCACCGAAGGAGGTCTTACGCATGACCATTATACACGTAGTAATCAAATAGGTTTCCAGACATACATGGTACAGACATAAGAGTATTTTAGTCCTGCATGTGGTACAATTATACATGTGTTAATTATATACGTTGTAGTCAAGCAGGTGTTGTAGTTACGCATGTGTTGTTGTGAAGCAGGTGTTGTAGTTACGCATGTGTTGTAGTGAAGCAGGTGTTGTAGTTACGCATGTGTTGTAGTGAAGCAGGTGTTGTAGTTACGCATGTGTTGTAGTTACGCATGTGTTGTAGTCAAGCAGGTGTTGTAGTCAAGCAGGTGTTGTAGTGAAGCAGGTGTTGTAGTTACGCATGTGTTGTAGTCAAGCAGGTGTTGTAGTTACGCATGTGTTGTAGTGAAGCAGGTGTTGTAGTTACGCATGTGTTGTAGTTACGCATGTGTTGTAGTTACGCATGTGTTGTAGTTACGCATGTGTTGTAGTGAAGCATGTGTTGTAGTTACGCATGTGTTGTAGTGAAGCAGGTTTTGTAGTTACGCATGTGTTGTAGTTACGCATGTGTTGTAGTCAAGCAGGTGTTGTAGTTACGCATGTGTTGTAGTCAAGCAGGTGTTGTAGTTACGCATGTGTTGTAGTCAAGCAGGTGTTGTAGTTACGCATGTGTTGTATTTTTAGAGGTGACGATAACTACTACCCCACCCACCATTCCATCACCACCACTCCTCCACTACCACCACACCGCCCAGTCCTCCACCATACCCCTCACTCCACCACCACACCCCCCACTAGACCACCACTTTTTCCACTCCACCACTACCACCACACCGCCCACTCCCACCACACCGCCCACTCCACCACCACACCGCCCACTCCACCACCACACCGCCCACTCCACCACCACCTCTACAGCAAAACATGCAATACAATTCCTTAAATTTTAAATATATACTTGTGTGTGATTATATGTGTGTGTTACATATAATAAACACTACACATTTACCTGTTAGTAATCGGAACAAGCACTATGAACTCTCCTACGCCGCCCCTCCCTCCCTAAAGCCACACACCGTCATTGTACCTTTGTTAAATACAACGTAAACAGTAAAATATTGACAGGGTAAACACAACCCTCCATATTCACCACTTTTTATGTATCACTTGGTAAACCCTGATCACAATTTTACGAACGACTCGCTACACAGTATTCCCATTTTAGGAATAATGACGTGAACCGTATTCCCGAGTTTTATGAAGGTCACTACTGTACAACCTATTGTCCCTTTTTATTATGAATGGACCTGACTTGACCTGACCTATTACCCATCTTTACTAAGAATGGCCTTTAACCTAACCCAACCATTAATCGTGGGTATGATGAGAACAGGATCAGCAAAGGAGGTGGAGACGAAGGGTGTGGTGGAGGGGTGTGTGGTGGTGGAGGTGAGGGGTGTGTGTGGTGGAGGTGAGGGGTGTGTGTGGTGGAGGTGAGGGGTGTGTGTGGTGGAGGTGAGGGGTGTGTGTGGTGGAGGCGAAAGGTGTGGTGGTGGGCGGGGGTGTGTGGTGGTGGGTGGGGTGTGTGTGGTGGGTGGGGTGTGTGGTGGAGACGAAGGGGTGTGGTGGAGACGGGGGGTGTGTGGTGGAGGTGGGGGGTGTGTGGGTGGGTGGGGGGGTGGAGGTGGGTGTGTGGTGGAGGTGGGGGTGGTGACTCTCCAGTGTGGTGGGAGACAGGGGTGTGTGGTGGGGAGACAGGGGTGTGTGGTGGAGGTGGGGGGTGGGGCAGGGGTATGTGTGGTGGGACGGGGGGTGTGTGGTGGAGACAGGGGGTGTGTGGTGGGAACAGGGGGTGTGTGGTGAGACGGGGTGTGTGGTGGGACAGGGGTGTGTGGTGGGGACTTGGGGTGGTGTGTGGTGGAGGGGTGTGGTGGTGTGTTGGACAGGGGTTGGGAGACTTGGGGTGTGTGGTGGGACTGGGGTGTGTGGTGGGACTTGGGGTGTGTGGTGGTGTATGGTGGGGCCAGGGGGTGTGGTGGGACAGGGGGGTGTGTGGTGGAGACAGGGGTGTGTGTGGTGGGGACGAGGGGTGTGTGGTGGGAGACGAGGGGGTGTGTGGTGGAGACAGGGGGTGTGTGGTGGGACAGGGGGTGTGTGGTGGAGACAGGGGGGGTGTGGGTGGGACAGGGGTGTGGTGGAGACAGGGGGTGTGTGGTGGAGACAGGGGGGTGTGTGTGGAGACAGGGGGTGTGTGGTGGGACAGGGGGTGTGTGGTGGGGACGGGGTGTGTGGTGGGACGAGGGGGTGTGTGGTGGGACAGGGGGGTGTGGGTGGGACAGGGGGGTGTGTGGTGGGACAGGGGGTGTGTGGTGGGACAGGGGGGGTGTGTGGGGAGAGACAGGGGGTGTGTGGGACAGGGGGTGTGTGGTGGGACAGGGGGGGTGTGTGGTGGAGACGGGGTGTGTGGTGGAGACGAGGGGGGTGTGTGGTGGGGACAGGGGTGTGTGGTGGAGACAGGGGGTGTGT